AAGAAAGGTATAGAGTAAAAAATCTTCATAATATTAGTAGATTATAGCGCTTCAATAATGTATTAGATTTCTCCAGTATAAATTTTCCAGTCACATTGTATAATATCAATATATTCAAAGAAATAATCTAAACTATGCAATAAATGTATTCTATCCTTCATCTGCAAAAAATGACAAAAAGCAATTGTCTGCCAAATTAGATCAACTCTGTATATCAGAAAATAATTATAAAAGAGAGCATATGGTGGATTTAATTTTATTTACTGAAGGGGAGGAAGATTTTAGAGACCGTCGAAATATTAATGAAATTCCTTCAGGCTTGAATACACACTACTGTTTAATCAATAGAAAACAAGAATAGAATCACATTATATGTAATTAGAACAAATATTATGAGTGAAAATATTTTTGTTGCTACTGTATGATTAATTTATTCTCAAGATTAGATTTGCTCCAAAAGCATATAAAGCATAACTGTCATGGTCAAAATAATCCTAATGCTAGTCAAAGAGAAATTTTCCCTGAAAAAGGAATGCATATTATAAAATTCTAGAAGTAGATAGTGATCTGATAGAAAGAAACAATATTAATGAAAAGACTATTAAATTGCAGAAACAGAAGCTTAATAGTTATGGCTATATTTTAATGCAAACAGATGGGAAGTTAGCAAAAGAAATTGCTAAATGAATTTCAAATTCAATTGTGGAATCATGGGAAAATATGCAATGTGACTTAAAAGAAATTATCAAACTGAAGTTACGCATTCCAAAAAAAAATAAAAATGACAGAACGATATTGGCGAAGACATAACTCAGTCATAAGATGCTACATATGTGAAGGAATATTATATGATACCCGATATAATAAAGTAAAATATTTCAATTTAGCCAGAAAATTCATAGGCGGTGTATATCATAGTTATATTAAAATTAAGTGTGAGGTTACAGAAGAAAAGCTAGCAGAGGCTATGTATCATACAGAAGGTTTGAGAATAAAAAAGAAAAATATATTCAAAAAAGTAACCAATTGCTGTTTATATAAAATGAACTTCGAGATGATATAAATAATAATAGGGTTAGAGATCATGACTATTTCACCAGAAAATATCGTAGCCCAGCACATCGTGGCTGTAATCTTTAACTCTGAATAAAGCCAGATAAAATTAAGATCCCATTAATTTATCATGGTGAAAACATTATGACTTTCATCATGAAGTACGGAAATTAGGCCTAGTTAGTAAAGACAAAATCGAAATACATATTCTTCCAAAAATAAGCAACATCTATTTTATATAGGTTCCAAAAATAAGCAACACTCAGAAAAATTGAATTTTTTTTTTAATAAAATTTTTTTTAAATAAATAAATAATTTAGCTACATAAACATATTATAAATGCATTCAATTGTTTATTTTATTATTATAATAAAAAAAATGAGTTCATCCAAAAAATATAAAATTTCTAGTAAAAAAAATTAATTTATGATGTTAATGATATCATTTTCACTAACAGTAGTATCGGAATTATAATAATCATTGTCATGATCATTATAACGATCATTAATATCATCATTGCTAATATTACCTAAGTCCAAATCATTTAAAATATTGCACTTTTAAAGGACTTAACAATATATCAGGAGATATACCCTCTCATGAATATTTTACCCATGAATACATATTACTAAGACTTGTGTGATGAAGATTTTCTGAGACAGTTTCTCTAGTATCACTATCTGCCATCCAAGAATGCCACTCCTTTTGAAAGTTGTTCTTAAATAGCTTATTAATTGAAACATTTATGATTGGCATTTACTTGTCAATCCGCCTGAAATTACCATGAAATAGACACCACTTTCACGAAATCTTTTTTTAATTGAATCTTCTAAGTGGCCTCTAAAGTAATCGTAAACAAGCATTGCCAAATCTTCTTGTGTTTCATTTCTCACCCTTATATCATTGAAATAATCTATATATCTCTGCATAAAATAAGTGTCTATCCACCTGTTGGTTTGAAATCAAACAATAAAACCTAGCGATACTTTTTTTTCATGTGGTATTCATTTGCCTTTAAAGATACAAATTGGTAGAAATTTGAAACCGTCTATAGTAATAAGATTAAAAAATCAAATAAAGAAAAAGAAAAAAAATTAAGTGGAAAAGGCGGGAAAAGTAAAAATGAAAAAAAAGAATAATACCTGTGACACATCTAAGAACTATTGTGAATCAGTTCCTTTTATTTTCTGTGGCTTGAATATGAACTGTTTTCTCTTCTTTAGGATTAATCATATAAATACTGATCATGTCAAATCAAACCAGAGTTTCATTCATATTAAGAATGTTACTTAGTTTCAACGACTTTTCAATTCTTAAATTTTTAATAAACTGGTAAAATTTCTCTAGTTGTTCCTGGGTTTCTTCAGGAAGTTTTTGGGAAATTTTGGTTTGTCTACGCAATGCTAAATTAAATCTTTTCATAAAGCCTAATATCTAACGTTAAGATATTTTAAAGTCTTCATCTACATTATCATAAATAACCACCATTTCAGATTCTTTTAAAATCTCTAACATCTTGTTTCTTATGGTTATATAGGCCGCTGAAAGATCCTGTTTTCTTTGTTGTATAATGCAGGTATAAAGCTTTTTCTTTGCTTCTGGAAATAAGGTTCTTCTATTGGAGCTAATCTGCTTGCTATTCCTCTTGGGTTCACTTGTCTATTTCGAACTTGCATTTACCTACTGACTTATCATATCACAATCAATATCAAAGTGTCTTGCTGTTTCATTATTTCCATGGTTTATTGCATAAGCAATGATCTTTTTTTTATGTTCAACTGAGTATGAATTTTGTGTTCGTTTTATAATCTGAGTCTTACGTTTAACAGTTTTAACTATTTTTTTTCATTTTGCTATTCAACATAGGTAAAAAAATAAACCTTGTGCGAACAAGAAAAGACTCCAAAGCAATTGGCCAAATGTTTTTCAATTATGATGCAGAGTATGCTTCAATATTTACTTTATTAGTCTCACAAAAAAGTGAGTACTCATATGAATTAAATGATCCAGAGCGCTTCTCTAGAATAGAGCTTCATCAAGAAAAGAATTTAATACAGTGCTAGGCAGGCTAAATTATTGTGAAAATAGTTGTAAAAAATGCAAATATGAAATAAAGGGTAAATAATGTAATGGAGAATGTAAGGAAGGGATTTAAAGGAGGTCAACAATTGTGAGCACAAAAAATTTACACCATCAGTCAAAAGCAATATGATCATGCGTAGATAGTATGGGAGAAAGTAGAGTGTAAAACATTTGGGGACTATCATGATTTATATCACAGAACTGATGTTTTAATATTAGCAGACTTAATTCAGAAATTCTAAATAATAATAAAGGAAGTAAAGAGACTTGATTCTTTGAATTATATAACTTTGCCATCATTCGCATTTGACATAACATTAAAGGTGATCAAGGTCAAACTTGAATTATTCCATAAAGAATAGCAGGATATGCATGAATTCATCTAACGCTAATTGCAGGATGAAAATTCTATGGCATCATATTATTAGTGATAGTCTTATTATGACGCATGATACTGTGCCTAACATAATTAACAAATGGTAATCTTAATGATCACAATTCTCTACTTTCTACCATTTTTCTGATTTCTCTAATTTCACTAATTTTTTAGCAATTTCTAATTTCACATATTTCTTTAATATATTTAATTTCTTTATTTTCTTATATTTCTTATATTTCTTTACTATCTTAAATATCTATTTCATATTGATGTATTTTATATAAATAACTTGTATTTCTGCCTTAATAAATGGCAGAGTTATTACTAATTTCTCTAAAAAATCAATAACATTTATCTCTAAAACTTATCTTTGCTCGTTAAACAATTCATTCTTCTTTAAAACTATATTAATAAAGATGACCTAACCCTTCAATTTAATAATTCGTGATTAGTTCTTTCATAGTTTAAACATATATAAACTCCTTGCTATCAAATAATCTTTGTTATCATAATGATGAACAGTTTAAGCTTAACAATGTCACATAGCAAAAGCTAACTTTCTGGAAATGAAAGGCTATAATAAACAGAAATCAAAGAAATAGCTTATATATTTGGATACTAATAATTTATATGGATGAGTCATGTCTCAATATTTACCAACAGGAGTCTTTCGATGGCTTGACCTAGACAAATTGCCAGATATATGATCTATTTCACTAACTGCTAAAGGAGGTAGTACTTAGAAAGTAAAATTGAAATATCTGGATAAGCTCCATCCAACACATACTGAATATTTACTCTATCCAGAATGTAAGATAGTTAAGCATAATGAGCTTAGTCCTTACCAAAATAATAACTAAGTGGGGGTAGATTTGCGAAAACAGAAAAATTGGTGATAATATTAAAGACTAAAGATCAGTATATTTTTTATTACCAAAATCTCTAACAATGTCTTGAACTGGAAATGGAGCTTAAGCCTATATACTGTATATTAGAGTTTGACCAAACACCCTAGCTTGAACTATTTATTTCAGCAAATACAAAACGATGTCATGATACCAAAATGCATTCGAAAAGACTTATGGAAATTAATGAATAATGCAGTATTTGGAAAGACAATGGAGAATATCTGATATCACACACGAATAGATTTAGTATGACCAATAGGAGAGGAACATCAATTTCGCAAAATGTTAGCAGATCTGGCACTAGTTAGTTATAAGACATTTCATGAAAGCAATATTATTGCAGTATATCAAAAACAGACAAATGTTGTACTAAATAAGCTAATCTATGTTAGAGTAAATACTACATATACGATTATCAAATTATCCCTCTAGCTAATCAACTAAATGATTTGAATAATAAGCTTATCTTCCAAATTACTTGCAAATGAAAGTCTCATACCAATCTTAATACCAAGCAGTTAAAAGAAATAGAATCACCAAAGTTTACAGTTAAATCACTAGAAAGTATAATATCTTTGATGCAAAAAGCTTCATCTTCGAAGGATTCTGATATCATCTCTCTTGGACCTAAAATAAATGAACTGGAAGCTAAGTTAGAATAAGCTACGTAAAAAGTTTATTAAAGGATTTTGATACTAACCAGTTATGTAGTAATCCCTCTTTTAAGATTAAAGCAAAGAAATTGAAAAAATGAAGTGAAAAAGTTACATAAATTTACCATTTAAGGATGGGTTAATTTTTTGTCTCAAATCTAGGGTAAGTAATCTGAAAGATGAACTAAATCAAATCATTTCGCAACCACATCAGTCAACTAATAATTTAAAAATAGATATTATAGAAGCGAATCCAGTTTCATTATCCAGCGATTATAAGCATGATGAAGTAATAGAAGAGGTATCCCATTTTTCTTTACATTGTTCAGAGCCTAATCCTGATGAAAGCAAAGTAAAAGATGAGATAGGATCCCAAGAAGATTATCCTATTTTCCATGCTGATCAAAAATATGATAGTATCTCAGCCTCACCCATTGTTATATTAGGAGCTGATAAGGCTTTAGTTGATAATCAGTATATGCTTTTGTCTATATTCAATCTCATGATTCTTGCCTTGTTAATTATATTAATTATATGATATATATATAGACGATTATTTCACTCTGATAAAAAAGAAGAAAATTTTTCAAAATATATGATACTTTTAATAGAAATAAGAATTACAGATTGTTAAGATAGTCTAAAAATTATATCATGACTATTTCTAAGAACTACCGTGCCGATACCATGTCAAATAATATACTATTAGATCTGAAAAAAGTACTTCCAACTAATGAGAAGAATTTGACTTTATAGATGCCAGCTTTTTTTCCATCTCCTGCAACTGCATTTTCAGATCCTCATTTTTACATTGCAATTTCTTATTTGCACTAATCCATTCTCTATATTCCCTTTCTATGTCTTGCATGAATTTTCAAAAGTTCTTTTATTATAATCAAACAGATGCTGGTGAAACACTTTAAGTTTATTTATAATCTGACAATTATTCTCTTTCTCATGATCACAAGTAATATTATCAGTTTGGACTCTATTGTTCATAACAACTGGTAATTCTTTGAATAAAAAAGATGTCAGATACTCTGGCCAACTTTGAGTTTGTCTCTGATGTATGCATCTCTTTTAATACCTAATAGCTTCATGTTTTAAAAATGATTCTACAATTGGATTAATTTCGCTGGCTTCTTTCTCAGATAATGATTTGCACTTTCGTGATGTAAAATGTATCCATACTTCATTTATTAGGAAAGCGGGTAATTTTGCTAGTCAGTCATTATATATTTATACATTGCGTAAAAATAATGAAATTTCATAGAATTTCAAATAATAAACTATTATATTAATACTATTGCCTAAAAAATCTACTACTAAAAATATTTACGCATCAATCTTATGAGAGATCTGCTAGTAATACATCTCACGTAATCCTGTAAATTTGTCAAGAAAAGTTTTATTATCCGGTGATACCCACATACATAAAAAACATTAATGTGAAAATTGACCACCAGGGTCACTTTATTTAAATAATAATACAAATAATAATTAGATTATTTTTTTTCGAATTTTATAGACTTTCTTTTTTTATTTTTAGTGGTGATGATGATCTTGGTGAAGAAGATACTGTAGAGCTATTTCTGTATTACTACTTGAACTGGTTGGAAGTGCATAATATAAAAGAGATATATTAACATATAATATATTCTATAATTATAAGTATATGTTAATTTTAAGTAAGTGAAATAAAAGAATTACATTTCACATACCCGTATTGTCAATAAAGTTTTGATAAATTTAAACATTATATCTCATCTATTGGATGTATTAGAATTTTAACTATATGTAGATTATAGAAATAATATAATTCATTTATATCTCAAATGAGGATATTTAGATGCATCTTAATTCCAGTGACTTGGATTCCAATAATACCAAATTCATCTTTATCCAGTTTCTATCCTTTACATCTTTTATGAGCCTAATACATTCTATCATTCATCTCTCTTCAAATTTTTACCTTATCATTTTTCCTTTTTGTTCATCACAAATGATACGAGAACTTTCACAATAAATTAATTCATATACACTTTCATTACAACACATAATATTTGGTCATTTTCCAATTCCTCTTCGATCTTTGCTGGCTATGTTTTGATGCTTATTTGTGAAAATATAACCAGATTTTCCAATTGAAAGATATTTAATGATGCTTGAATCACCAGAACTGTTATATTAGTCATATATATCCTTTCACTTTGTGATTTAACTAACTTTGGAGCAAGGCAGGATTTTTTCAAATATTTCTTCTATAAAGAATAATGTTAAATGCAATTTTTTGTCAAAAGAAATGGCAAATATGATAATTATATTACGTTAAAGCTCATTACTGAAATACTCACAAGATATCAAGTATACCTAATGTAACTTTTTCTAAATTTTCATTAGATTCTTTTCAACTTTTATCATGTAAAAGTTTATTATTTGGAACATCTGTAATACTATCAATGAAATTCAAAATGAAGGAATCACAATTATCTTTAACAAGAACTGAAGCAGTTACTTTTATACGTTTTGCCAGATCCTATGGATTCAAAATATTAATAGAATATTCTTTACTGAAAGTGAACTATGACAATACAAAATACTATTTGCTAAATTACTTACCATAAAAAAGTTATATGCATCTACTTCCAAAGTTATCACCATTTCTGAATATGCATAAATTACTTAACTAGTAAGGGAAACACATCATGATCAATCTGAAGTATTTTTCTTCTTTAAATATTTATGGAAATAGTAGGTGTATAGAGCCTTACTATTTTTAAGTTTAGTTTTTAATATACATAGGTTTGTCTCGATTTCATTTTTGGTGAACTATTCTTCCTGTTTTGATTCTTTGATACTTTGAAGATGACTTACACTTTTGTATGCATTATTAAACTAGTGCAGAAGCCTTATATTAATACTAATATAGTTAAACTTTTGATATTAAAATAATGTATGCACACTTATCAGCATATTTCATGTAAATTATCAACTATATATGGTTTGCATATAATTAACAAAGCACATGAATGCTATATTTTTTTTTCATAAACTAGAACTAAGATTTACCCTGTGTGTTTAAGAAATTAATGCGTCTGATAAAACCTTTGCTCATATAACTATGGATACTCACTTAATTTGGTTATAAAAATATCATTTTACGCAATCATCATTTAGGATGATAAATTTGATAAATAATAGTAATAATCACTAACTTTTAAGGGAATATCAATGAGTTTGAGATATTTTTTCAAAGTCTGATCGTAATTCTTTTTTACAATATTTACCTGATGAATTATTTTTCTTAACTCATTTTTTGGACACTTTGTATTATTTTTTATTAGTTGAAAAATAATAGAAAATGCGATAATATGATTTGAGGGTAAATCAAGTAAAAAATTATAAATATTTTCATATAATGCGAAAGAAGACATAATAATGAAAAATATAGTGTTAAAATTTTACTAAAAAAATAATAAGCAATAAATAACTTGAATTTCATATACTTGCTCTTTTAAATCTCTGGCAACTTCTCTATTCATGTTTTTTCTAATTCGCATTCATGTTGAGAAAAAAGAATTAGGAAAAATATACAAGATACTTTATGTCAAAGGTTTGTTTCAAGAATAAAAGCATGCGGAATGTGAATTGAAGATCTCAATATTTTTAAAGGCATTTGGGAACAATGTATATATGAACATTTTTGCTTATCCGACTGCTTAATACTAAAACTGGCAATATTATATAAATATTATTCTACGCGAAATATAATAGAAATATCTTGTCACTCTGAAGCAAATATACATATCAATTAATATGCTATTTTCTTAGGCATAAACAGTTACACAGATTTACAGATAATTCGCAGTGCATCATATTATATCATATACACTATAACGAGAATTGAACATGCTAATTTATATCGTATACGCTAATATGCATTGGTCGTAAAGCATTTCTCATAGCTGAATAATATATTATTTTATTAAGATAATATTCAGGATCTGGATCAAGAACTGATCTAAAAATTTAGCGCATGATCTCACAATTATCATCCAAATCTGTGTAATTTATAGTAATATCCTTTCCATAAATATGATATATGTATTTTAATGGTGAATCGCATATTAAAGATATGATCTGAATAAATTCAATCTATCTGATCATCCATCAGATCAAAAATCAGATCATTCAGATAAAAAAAATTGATCCTCAGATATTCGCGGTTGATCTGTAGATTGATCAGATTGACCGGATATCTATTTAATTATGAAAAAGATAAGTTATAAAAGATTGGTTAATTTAAAAAAAATTAATATTAACACTTACTTCTTATCTTTATAGAATAGTCCAGAACCTTAAAAGATTTGAAAACTTTTTTTCGAGGTTAAGTAAAATTTTTAGTTAAAATTTGTTTTTATTTTCTTATATCAGCTTACATTTGTAAAATGATTATGAACCTTAAAACCTTAGGTTGATGCTATAAATTGGGACCCTTCTAACCTTTAGATAAACAGGATAAGCTCTTATTCTAGAAGCGTAGGCATTAAAGCTTCCCTCCTAAGGAGTATAAAGGCAATTTTGAAACCAAATGTCTAGACAGCCTTGAAAACTAGCAGTAAAGCATGCTGTTTATGTTGTTTAAATTGATATCTTATGAAAAATCTCACCACTCCTTATATACTACACAGGAGCTATATGACTGCCATCAATTCATATCATAAAATATAAGGTTAATTCAACTAATGAACGAAGCTTCTCAGATCAAGTAAGTCCTAATGACAAGTTTAATTTTTTAATTTTTTTTTAATAAAAAAAAACATTAACTTACCTTTGATAATCTGATCCAGAATTTATAAAACTTTGATTCTTGCATGAAGGTAACTCCTAATTAAATAATTAGTTTTTTTTTTTGTTTAAAAAAAATTTAAACTAACATACCTTTGTAAAAAACAATCCGATATCTTCAGTTTGGAGATAAGTATTAATAGAGAATTTTTATTAGCTTTTTATTATATTTTTTTTAAAATTTGTAAAAAAACTAACATTAACTTTATTATCTTATCTTTATAAATTGATTCAAAACCTATGAGTCTTGAAATTTGAGATAAAGAAAGTCTTAAATAATAATTAATAGTGTTTTATTTTTTAAATATTCAACTAACATACCTTTATAGAAAACAGTCTAAAACCTTTATATCTTAGGTTGGAATCGGTTTAGAGGTAAGTCATAATAAAGAATTTTTGTTAGCTATTTTTTTATTTTTATTTTTTTAATTTAAAAAAAATACCTTAAGATTGATCTAGAACCTATGAACCTTGCAATTTAGGATGGATGTAAGTTCTAAATAATATAATTAATTGTAAAACTTTTAATTTTTCTTGTAAATAAAGTTGTTATAGTTGACGAGAGAAGTAATAAACTATCTAAACTGAGTTTTTTGTATTAAAAATAGTAAAAGCGAAATAATTTTATTTTCTAAAAAATATTTTTTGAAAATATTTTGGGAGAGAGAGAAAGTGTTTTTTTTTTTTCGTCGAAATTATTTCGACCATTGAAGGCTAAAGTCGCAAAATAATAGAAACTACATCATATCACATGATTTTTCATATTAAGAAAAAATAAAATACAAAAAAATATACGATCTCGGTCAATATCGCACCGATTCGTATGAACAACTACCATTCGATTTCCCGTGATTAGACGAATCTAATAAGCTAGCATTTATTGATTTTGGATCAACCCATCTCGAGATATTTGCGATCGTATTTCGAAATCCGGGCTCCTTTATTTAAAAGTAGAATTTATTGATTCATAATTTCAGCCGATAATTCAATTGCGATTATCTCGAGATTGGATAATCCAAAATCTATGAATATTAGCTCATTGAATCCGCCTAGTTTCGAGGAATCGAATGGTAGTTGTTTCATACGAATCGGAGCGATATTGACCGAGATCGTAAATCTTTTGTTTTTTTTTGTTTTTTTATATATAAAAAATATGTGATATGACGTTATTTCGAACATTTTGACTTTTTATTTCGACTTTTGGGTTTTTATTTCGACTTCATGTATAATTGGAACTATTAGAGATAACATAACATTTATTATAAAAAAATAATAAAGTTGTATCTGAACTATTTAGTGACTTTTATTATAAAAATAATAATAAAAGTTACAATTGAATTGTTAATTATAAAAAATAATAATAAAATTATATCTAAAATAGAATTTAGATCTGTATATCTGCAATTTGTATATTTGTACAAATAACTGATATTCATTTTTTTTTATTTAGATAGTATTTATAGATAAATAATTTTGTATAGATTATTTGTAGATAATTTATGATTAACCTTTATATCTATTATCAACATGAGAATTTTACTCCTATTTCTTATGTAATAATAATTATTTTCATTTATTAACTAAATCTAAATCTTTTGTTTCTTTTATTAAAGTTAGTTGATGTTGCTCACAATGTAAGATAGATAACTTCTGTAGAGTTTCTGATCTTAAAGACTATATTCTATAAATATTTCAGAAAGCTTGAATTCTTGAATTAGCGATTTATGTCTCAATTTTATTTACAATTTTTTTTTACAAAATAATAGGAAAATTATAAATGAATTTCGGATTAATCAAAAACTTTTGGATTAATCTAAAAAAAATTTTCCTTTTTTTTTAACCTTTTTCTTTTTTTTTGTATTTTTTTAAGATTTTTACCATTTTTTTTAGAAAAAATCTTATTTCAGAAATATAGTAAATCATACTTTAGGAGAAAATTTACTATTTTCCTTATTTTTTCTTGTTTTTTTTAGGAAAATTTTCATTTTAAAAATAAGTAAATCGGAAACAATCTGTTTAGTTGATTTTCCTTTCTTTTTCTTATTTTGAAAATAAGAAATGTAAATCAGAAGTGACTATTAGTTGAATTTTCCCTTCTTTTTCTTTTTTTTTAGGAAAATTATCATTTTGGAATTAAGATAAGCAAATCTTTAGTGACTTTTTGTGTGAAAATTTACTATTTTTCTTTCTTTTTTCTTTTTCTTATTTATTTAGGAAATTTCTTAAGGTAAGCAAATTGTTAATGACTTTTAGGGTGAAAATTTACCATTTTCCTTTTTTTTTTTCTTATTTTGTTTAGGAAATTTCTCATCTTGGAATTAAGATAAGCAAATTGTTAGTAATTTTTTGGGTGAAAATTTATCATTTTCCTTTTCTTTTTTCTTATTTTTTTTAGAAATACACTATGATAAGTCAATTGAAGATGGAATTTTTGATTCATTTCTTTATTTTACTTTATTTTTTATATATATTGAAAGTGTTTCTTTTTAAGGAATTTAAATTTAACAATTATGTAAAATAATACAAATATAAATTTAATAAATTGAAATAAATTAAATTTGTTATATTAGTTCTGATTTGCGATTTTAGGTTGATTTTAGGTGGTTGAATTAGGTTGATTTTTGACATATTATGTCCGATTTGTATCTGATTTATGGTTGATTTGTGGTTGAATTGTGATTGATTTAAGTGGTTGAATTAGGATGATTTTTGGCCGAATTGTATCTGAATTGTGGCTGAATTTAGATTGAATTAACTTAATTTTTAGGTCGAATTGTATCCGAATTATTATGTTCGATAGGTCCTATTGGCACAGAATTATGCCAATAGGAAATAGTCCAATTTATTACAATTCAGCCATAATTCAGACAAAATTCAGATATCTGATTTTTGGCCGAATTGTATCATTTCGACCTGTGTATATTTATTAACATATTTTTTTTTACCTTTCTGATTTTATTTGTATTCATCTTTCTGTTTTGTCATAATAAAAAAAGAATCATATAGATATATATTTATTACAATTCGAAAATGCATTTGTGACAATTTCGTTAATGAATGCACTGAAATTTGATCATAAAAGTCTGGACTTGAGCTTAATTTGACTTATTAAGTCAAAATGTGATGTAATATTATGAGCTTTAAAACAACAATCTCTATTTTTAATTATAATTGTAAAATGCTTTGAACGTTCAAAGGTAATCATCAGTAGTTCCAATGGTAGCTTTTTTATCTCCCAAAATTTAAAAAAAAAAATAATTATCATTTCATTATCTTAAGAAAGGGCAATTTCGGTATTTGTATTCATTTTATTCACTTGCGTGAACCGCTTCGTATCAAATTCCTCATAATTTATAGTTATCGTTTCTATTTTTTTTTTTTTTTTTTTTTTTTTTTACTAAATTCATTTATAAAATAATTCTTTTGTATGTTAGATTTAGTAGTACCAGCCGTTGGGGTCGGAATCGACGGCTGAGTCAACTGAAAAGGGTACAAAATTTGCCACGACTGGTACTACTAGTTAGATTAGATTGGAAAAATGAATTAAATAATAAATTTATTTTTAAAAAAATGACTTACTAAAATACTTCATGAAGCAATTCAAAATCTTAAGGAACAAATAATAATTAAATCAAAAAAGCCAAAAAAAGAAGCAATCGATCAAGTGAAAAACAAAAATAAAATATTATAAAATAGAAAATAAATGAAACTCGAAATAAAAATTAATAACATACAGCCTTTACTTTGTTCGACTCGAAATATTAAAAAAAAAATTAGTAGCAGCAGCAATGATTCAAAAAAAAAAATTAATAATTTAATGAAACCGAGTTTCATAATTTAAAAATGCTTTTTTTTTTTTAAATATTTAGCGTCTCAATAAAAGGTCAACTCAGGTAGATAAATTAACTTTCAAATATTCCAAAAATTTTCAAACTTATAGGCAAACTAAAGTTTGAGTCATTTTTTATTAATTATAAAAGATTATTTAAATCTACTAGGAGACTATAAAAAAAACACAATTCAGATTGCTCAGTTGCAGACAGATGTGCGAATTCCTGCTGAAATATTGAACAAGTGTAAATTGTTTTCTTGTGCTTTTTATTCGCCGTCCCCATTTCTAAATTTCAACTCTATCTTTTTCATTCTGATCCACTTGGTACAACTAATCAAATTTTCGCTTCTGCTCGTATCATCCACTTTTTTCAAAATATGCCGCAAGTAGGATAGAATGCGGTAGAATCATTTTTTTTTAATAAATAAAAACCGTTACACAATTAACACATACAATGCCTCCAAGTCTCGGATGTTTTGAGTTATATATGTATATGCCAATGCTTTATGTTATGAACTAAATAAATCCAGTAAATAATGAAGATTAAATTTGCATCGTTCGAAGTTCTGTACTTTCCCAGGGCACGACCGATATCATTATTAAAATATATAATTGGGATTGTCAACTCGGTCATTTCTGGGTATCAGTTCTCGTAAATTTTTCAACTGGGTCTGATCTTGCTGCAATTAACGAAGAGCTATCGCAATAAAATCATAGACACAATATCCAATATTTTCCTCCACGTTGAAGTAAAATCATCACTGCAATAAGGGCTTACATTCAGTTCAAGGCATAAATAATTAATTTCAAATACCTGTCATGTCATAGATTCATATATATAAATTTAGGAATTTTCAAATCAATGGTCATACATTATGGATAAAATAGTTAACTACATGTCCCATGAAACCTTTTGATACCTTAATTTTTCTTTCAATTTCATTACAAAATTGACCACACTCTTCTAAAAATTGCTCAAAAAGTTTTAATTCATGAACTTATCAAATCTCGAATCGAATTTTCATATTTTACATATAGCCATTAGAAAAATATAATTGCTCAACAGAATAACAGAATAGCGTACGTCTTGGGAATTTGCAATATCTTCTACAGTGAAGTAATATTTCATAGAATAAATATTGTTATCCTAAATTTGTTGTGATGGAAATCTAATTGCTCATCATAGGTCATCGTATGTACACGAACATATTCATTTAAATGATGAATGCGGCCCGTTTTATCCTCAATAAATTAATTTCTTTTGCTGATAATGCTGATAATTACAGGCAGATAGTTAGAATGGTGCTTTAATTTCAATGCTAAGATAATCATCATAAGCATGCAATCAAAATGCTGTCAATAATAGCTGAAATTACATGCTTTTGTCATTCCTCCATATATCAGAACCTTGTTGGTATTGTCTTGATTTATTTCAAATAATACAACTCGCTCATTATTTTGCTGACGCGCCTTTTATTATAAGGTGACGACAAGCTATGCATTCCAGAATGCTATTAGTTTCTTGTTTTTAATTTCGGTGATATCCAGGACGTCGTTATACAAGGCATTCCATTAAAGTATAAACGCGTGGTATCTGCAATTCTATGACAGAATTATTGTAACAAATTATAATTTAAGCATAGTGAAATTTTGTGTAAATAATCGTTAGTCCGCAAATGTTAAATACAGCGCCAATTTGATATTTCGAAAGGTTGGAGACCATTATATAGCAATCGAGATATAAACAACGCATTTCTTTTCAGAATAATGTTGGATATTGCTGCAAAGGATACAGTAGATATTCTATGTCCTATGGTCTCATATTCGCAAAGAGAGATTGAGAAGTTTCACTCTAGACCAGAATACTCTAGGTCAGAATAATCATTTTTAGTGCATCGTAAACTTTGAATAATGTTAAAGCTCTTTTGTTATTATTTGTATAATGTCTTGAGAAGTCTCTGGAGCGAATGTAAATGAATATGAGGTATAATTTTGTGGTACGGAGGACATGAATGGATATCAAGGATATCAAGCTGATGGATAAGTAGATGCAGCTGCGTAGTCAATAATTAAGATAAAAGAAGTAAAGATTGATAAATGTGATAGATTAATAGTATCATATCATCAGAATAAATATAAAAATTAAATGGTGTATGGAAAATTATTTTTTTTATTTTTTCCTTGCGAGTTCCATCACTTGGTTTCTTAGATCCTCTTTAAACTCGTCATCCAGCTTGTCTTTCTTTTTCTGTTCGTCGGTCCTCCGTTCCTTTTTTTCATTTATAAGGTGTAAAAGTTAAAGTTTTAAATTGAAATTTTTTTTGATTTATATCGGTTACTGCTAATCTATATTGGAATTGTGTCAAATTTTCGACCAAATGTTACACACGCTCTAAATGTAAAGTTTTGACTTTATTTTATGAAATGATGATACTTTTATTAAATAAATATTTAATTTTTATTTCATACGATCATAAGATATAGCCACTTTTTAACATTGTTCATCTCCAATTATAAATAGCCTACCATTGTAAAGCCAAACATAAAGTTGGATTATCATGTGTCTGTTAATGCGTTATTTAAGTCATGAGAATTATAATCAAGATTGCGATTGCGTATACAGGAACCAATTGAACTTATAGTTGCCTGACGAAACCTATTTTGGATTGTCGAAACGTCTAAACTTCTAGTTCCGACAGGTTTTTAATAAGTCCTTAATATAGTTTCGACTGTTTAATATTGGCAGGTTTCGACAGGTTTATAGTATTTTATTAAGGTTCTGACACTTTCTGTCTGTCTAAACCCAGGATTTTCGTCAGGCAACAATAATTGAACTAAACGGAAAGAGGTTTTGTAGGATGTCGCATGCCCGTTACGAAAAATATAAAAAATATATAATTCTTATCATACCATTTTTTATATAACATTTAATTTCTTGATAATTTAAACGTTTAGCAACAGACCAAAAACCATTATTGTAAACAAAAAAAATATATAAATTTATTTATTTATTTAAATCATTAGAAAAGTTCGACTAGCTTATCAAGTTTTTGACATACGCTGAAAAATTATTTAAAAAATATTATTTACTTTGATTATAATCATCATCTTTAATAAAGTTTGCGAAAACTATTTTATAAAGCTATTTTATTCATAAAATATATATATATATATTAAATAATATTATAAGTTTGTTATTTTATTTGTCGACGTTCGATAAATATAATTAATTGCTTTTTTTCCAGCAAAGTATAAAATATTTTTTCTTGTATTACTTTTAATTTACTGCTTCAACGTCGCAATGACAAAATTTTTTTGGATCCGTGTCAAAAGGCTGTAATTATTATTTTCGTTATTTAAATGATTTTTTTTATTTTTTTAAACATCTTTTATAGTCAAGTTAGATCAATAGATAAGATTAAGGTTGATTTTTTATTAAATTATTTTCAAGATGAACGAGAAAAATTCAGTTCACAAATTGAGTGATTTTATTTGAAATATTGTATTGAGGATACAATAAATAATTCTGTATGATCACGCCACCCGCTATAATATATAAAGTATTACACTTATGAAAGAAGATTAGACTTCATGGTGCATCTCGACCCTTATCGAAATGTATCTATTATAAAGAAAAGGAAAATTTTGTAAAAGTTAGCAGGGAGTGACACACTCGCATTCCATGTCTAGGGAAGCAAATTCCTTTAAGCGACTATTCCTTGAGCCTCGCTATGCTAACGATCTTATAAACTGTTTCATTAAAACTTTGGTAAAACAGGGAGCGCAGTTTACCTCGTTAAAAATCTTTGTCAGCCTATAAGCCATCATCTTCCTCCTCAAGAGGGAGTCTAAACAATCACAAGAGTTAATGCAACAAACAAACGAATTCTAACCTTATTTATATTAAAAAGTGAAAATTTTGAAATTGTGGGATTCATGATCTTCATTATCGATCACTAATTATGGAATATCGCACGTTACGTTACTGATCATATGATCTATAGCTAGTCAACATATATAATTTTTAGTTCTTTATCGCGATTTTTTAATTTCGTTATTTTTTTTTAACATGCATGACATAGCCCTTCAAAATTTCAAGTACATAGAAATCATTTCAAATATGACAATATACTAGAAAATTTTATATATAAAAGAAATAAATAAGGCGATGCGGTAATAAAAGAGCTCACGTGTTTCTTCACTTTGAAATGTGTTTTTCAGCCGGCAAGGGATCATTCACAATCCTTGCTAAAACCACCATCATATTTGCTCCATTTTATACTTCAGTAGGAGCTGATGCTTACAAGTCACATGCCTAAGCTTTTTTTGTCGGTGGTTCTGGGTGAGTTTGCAGAATATAGCACCTGATGGCTCATTTTTTACAGTCATATTTTCCAATATTACCGAATACTTACTAAATCTTACTCTTTTCTTATCCAAAAAACACATTTACGTTATCGTAGAACCAGTTACGACCGGTAAGTGAGTCTAGTTATTAGTCAACGCAAGCGAAGCGATATGGCTAGAATATTGCAATACTTCTAATTTTCTTTCTTGCTTCTAATCTATTAAAGTTTTTCCATTATTTTTTTTTATTTTTTTTTTTGACGCGGTACTAATGAAATTACATTTTTTGTACTTTTTTAAGTAAAATCAAAACGAAGTTACTATGAGATGCAAGTTGATAGGACAGCTTCATTTGTGCTCTCATTCAATCATTCGATACCTGCGGATGACTTATCTCTTATTGATGCACCACTTATTTTAAAATTGCTCGCATCTTTTTATGAAGAGAGAAATATTTCCTCAGTTTGCTGAATTATCTAAACAAGTGAAAATGAAAATGGAAGTATCTATAAAAGCACATTTACTGACATATTTGAAAAGCACACATCAGAAGATATGATTTACTGGGAAATAGATAGTTTGATCAGAATCCAGCTCCAGACTTTTCGCATCCAATTGAAATGGTAGGAACAGCTGGAACCTTGGAACAGTAATAAATGACCAATTTATTTTGTTGGAAGGCTGAAGTTTTACAGATGGTAAAATCGAAATTAATTTTGACGTTTTGGCAAAATTTTTCTAAAGACAAAACTACGAAAGTTTACGGGTATAAAGGTTTCGATGTTTGGCCGGTTGGAAAGTATCGACAATGGTAAAAGTTTCGAGATATGGGTAGTATTCTATTAAAATTGAGGTACGGATCATATGATTTACTATGTCTCGTAACCAACTTTTAATAGATCAGCTCCCATATATCAAAACTATCAAAAATTTTAATAGTAATTTTTCAATTACTTGAATAATTTTCTTAAATATAGAATATTTCCAAATCTCTGTCTAAGTCCGAAAAAACTCTAATACTAATATATTAAAACTGTTTATTTAGCAAAAATAGTAATATTGAAATCTTCAATTGTTTAAAGCTTCAAGATTTCGTCATTTAGCGCGTAACGTACTGGTGGTTCTGTTAGAATTCGTTATAGAATATGCTTTCTATAAGAAACGTTCTATTTTTTATTACGAATTAATATTAATATTTTAAATTAGTTATATCCAGAATTCATTATTGACAGGTTCGTTATAAAGAGAGTTGGCTGTTTACTTGATCTATCAATTTTGTGTAACCGATTTTTTGCCGATTAATCGGACTAATGAAAATCGATTTAAAGTCGATATAATTAAACGATGTTGCCGAGTTGAGATTCAAAATCGTTATTAAAATCGACTTTCGACTCTGGCGATTTTCCGACTTTTGATTCCGAACCCTACATACATAGATCCACTACGCACTAGATTGGTGGAAAGAGAAAAATATTTCCGAGTATGAATATAATAAAGCGAGCCGTGATGAGTTAGAAATCATCAAAAAAGTAAGTTTCACCAGTTGATCCTTTGTGTAAAAATCAAACAAAAAAATAAATTAGAACTAATCCAACTACTCACCCGCGAAAGATCCGGGTGATTTAAATATGATATACTGTATATTATAAAATTTCTAAATGTTTGTTATTTGAAGAGGGATATAAGCTGTAGAGTGAGGCAAAAATGATATTAGTAGAATTTATCGGCTTTCTCACATATACGACAAAATTCAAAGCAAACATGACTCTATTCATGGAAAAGTACACAAACGAAAACGCTATAAACTTCGCAGGGTCATGCTTCGTATATATAAAAAAATCCGTTGTCTTATTAATGATTGTCATCATAAACTTGCCAAATGGCTGTGTCAAAGTTATCGTATTATCTTGTTGCCCGAGTTTAAGACACAGGGAATGGTTAGGCGTGGAAAACAGCGGATTCGTTCTAAGACAGCACGGATGATGTTAACATGGTCCCACTTCCGATTCCGCCAATATCTTCTACATAAGGTTCGTGAGTAGGTAATTATATGTACTGAAGAATATATCAGTAAGACATGTGAGTGCTGTGGTCATATCGATCGAAAATTGGGTGGATCCAAAGCGTTCCGTTGCCCAAGTTGTACAGCTGAGCTTGATCGGGATATCAATGGTGCTCGCAATATACTACTTCGCTATCTTACCGTTACATCTAAAGAGCCGGTTTATGCCGGCGCTGGGACTTACCTCCTGGGGTCTTCATGATCCTTGCAGAACGTGTATATTTTCTTATTGGGCATGATCAGAAATGGGATGTTTGATTAGGAATATATAGGTTTAATTGTAGGCGTCTTCGATCTTAATGTACAATATGTTAAAGACGAAGATTCAATAAAAGCATGAATAAAAAATTCTTTGTTATCCGAAAAAAAAAATAAATGCATGAAAGGAAGGTTTCTGCGCTGATGCAAAATTCGCGAATTTATTATAACTTTTAGTTTCAAAATCTCAAATTTATATATCATATCGTAGAATCAAAATTCAATCTTGAGATTGATTATTTTGTTTTTTTCTTTAATGTATAAAAAAAAATAAATAAAATAAAATAAAGTGTGTTCAAAATTATAATTAAATTAAGGATATAAGAAGAATATAAATTTCGAATAATTGGAATTAAAAAAAAAAAAATTCATCCAATACTTTTTTTGACATAAAAAAGAACAAATAATGTATAAAATCTTATATTTGATTCGTTATTTTCGGTTATGATCACAAAAAAGTAAAATGATCTACAAAAAATACATATAAATTAACCAGTACAAAATTGGAATTTCAACAAATTCAAATTTTCTTAGAATGGTTCTTTCTGACTTACTATTAACCTTTCTCAGTTTTTGGGCTCTTATACACGTTATATATCGAATATTTCAATCAAGGTTTAAGTTTCAATCATCGGTAACAAGATTATTATGTTATTTTTTTTATTTTTTTTTTTTTTAGATATCTTCTCTTTTTAAATAATAAGATAAAATAAAAATTTTTTTTCAGCATAGAGTACACCATAATGTATCTCGAACATCACACCTACCAATTGCAAATATTAGCCCAGCATATCATGTATCACAACCAACCGAGATATCACTTAGTTATTTTTATCTCTGTTATAAAACAAGTAAATTTAATTCATTTTTTGAAAATCTTTCAAAACGTACGCCCAAATTTTGGGAAATATGGTTTAATTTGGGAATTATAGTTGGATTATTAGCTATGGTTTTAGGAGTTGGTGTTATGATCGTGGCAGGTTGGAAATTGTTTATGGGATTCGTTAGATTTGGTATCCGGGATAATGAAAATCATGAACAAACGATATTATTGAAAAGAAACTTTGAAGAAGTTCATCAAGTTGAAAGCAATAATTATCATCAAGTTTTTGTACCAGTTGTAAGTACTTTTTGATTGTATGTGCAAATTATTAGATTTTTATATCCATATTACAACATTCAACTTAATATGTAAAAAAAAAATTTACAGATTCCCGGAGTGACATTACCAATTTCACATCTTATATATTACCTGATTGCACTTTTGGTTTGTGGAATCTTACATGAGGCTGGTCATGCAGTTGCAGCTTTCCGGTATTGTTTATTACTAATTTTTTTTTCGATCAATTTTTTGATTGTTGCATTAATTACGTTACGTTTTTTTAATAGTGAACTTGTGCCAATAACTGATGCTGGAATATTTTTGTATTTATTTTATCCGGGAGCATTTGTTAGTCTTTCTAGTCAATATTTGGATAATAGTTCACCGATAAAAAAGCTTCGCATCTTTTGTGCAGGAGTTTGGCATAATGCGGTGATATTTTTATTGGGTACTCTTATATTAAATTCTGGAATAATTAAATTATCTATGAGTCTCACTGGATACAGATCTGTGGAAGGAACTGGAGTTAGTATTATTAGTATTGAAGAGGTAAGAAAAGCAAGCAACCAACCAAATATACACCTCTTTCTTTAATTAATTATTCGTTAATTTTATATTATCGTTTTTTTTTTTTAAAAAAAATAAAATTAGAATACAGATTTTGTTGGAATATTATACCCTTCAGCGTTAATAACCAAAATAGATGATTATGAATTGAATGATGCTTCATTAGAGAGATGGAATACTTATTTATTGCAAAATTATAAGATTATAAATAATACTCGTGGGTTTTGTTCGTCAGAAAAGGACACTATGCCATCTTTAGATTGTTGTAATATTAATGCAGCTCATCCTTATGGAAATTCAGAAAGCAGAGAAGTTTTGTGTTTTCAGCTATCCGATCAAAATAATTCACACTATCAGGTAAGATGAATAATCCTTTGCGAATTAACAGAACTTTAATTAAAAATTCATACTTTTCATTATTTTTTTTTTTTTTTTAAAAAAAAAAGAAAGAATTGAGTTGTCGTCAAGTAAAACCAATATTAGCCAATGTGGATGAACAAAGGTGTGAAAAGGATTCTGATTGTGATGAATCATTACCTACGTGTGTATTACCATATACACCTCTTGGATTCCCTAGGCCTGTAAGGATTTATTTTAAACATTCTCCATGGAACGCTAATCAAGATGAAAATACAGAACAAATTTTGTTATGGCTTGGAAATTTAAAAGATTTGTGGGAAATAATACAAGTTAGCATTCTTCAACCAAGATGGTCATGGGTTCCTCTTTGGATACCACTTGTTTCAGAATTAATTTTAAGGTAAAATTATATTTATTTAAACCTTTGTTTTTTTTTATTATTTTATGTTTATTAAAAAGAGAAAAATTTTTTTTTATATGATTTTAGGTATACGGCATCATTTTCACTTGCGTTATGTATATTAAATATCTTACCGGCATTTCAATTGGATGGACATCATGCATTAAAAGCAATACTGACATTGTTATATGAAGATAATGATAAAGTATCAACCAACAGTAAAGGAAAGATGAAAGTAGTTGAAGATGGGATTGTATATAGTGTAACTGGGTTGGTTGGTTGGGTTGTATTTGGAACTTTAATTTCTGGAGTATTTTTTTGAGGGACATTGAATTATAATCAAAAAGATAATAATCGTAATACGTAAATTAAATAACATGGTAAGTTTACATATTGTATACATTGTATTGTATACGCGATTAATAAATTTTTTTTTTGTCATAAAATAACTTTCCGATAAGAATAAATTTTATCAAAAATCTTTACCTAGATCACGTGAATGGTATTGATTTCAAACCAGAGCGCAAGTCTAAAATTCTCTTGTACTTTATAAATTAATTCAATATTATGTATGTATGAATTCGCTTAAAAGGAGATATTTAAGAATTGGAGATGGATCATGATGGGATGGCTCAGATCAAATTCATGATAATCATAATTATTTCTTAGCAAAGCCCAATCTATGTGTATCAATCTTTTTTTTTCAAATTCGAATCTCACAATCTTTCCCTTCAATTATTCTGCAAATTCAATTTTAATTTTTGCCAAATCTCATCTCTATGGGAATTGATGAAAATATTTAAAGCATATTCTAATAAATAATATGGTTGCTCTTTTAATATTGTATTCAAGTGACAAATTTTATCTTTTGCGATGAATGATGGACGCCACACATAAAGCACAGCCACATTCAGAACGACAACACATAATATTTTGATTTTTGTATAAATATAGAGGTGATTTCAACTTAATAAATTTTGATTGACAAAAAACTTAAGCACCAAAATAAATTTTTTAAATTTGTCATGACAAAAAAAAAAAGCTTTCTTTATTTTAACAAAAAATAACGAACGATTATAATGAAAATATATAAATATATAATATTATTAATATTATTAGATAATATGAATACAAATTTTAACCTCTTTAAGGTATTTAAGTTTAATTATACATCGTCTTGAACTTATTTTTTTTTTAAAAAAAAAAAATAATGAAAATATTATATTTCATTTAGGGCATATATTCATACTTTATAAGTTAGAAATATAAAACGATTTGAACGTCCAAATATACAAAAAGTTGTTTGGTGGTTCAAATTACAAATTATTTTTTATATAATTTTTTTTTTTATTAAACTTAAAGTAGGTGTTTCCTTAGAAGTTGAGTCGTCAATATCTATACAGTTGAAGAAAATTTTTCGAAATCTAATAGTTAAATTAAATAAATAATAAAATAGCAAAAACGTTAACTCTTATAAAGTTAAATACATTATAAACAACTAATCTTCCAACTTATTTTTTCATATTTTATTATTTTTTGCAATCAAAAAAGGCAATTTCTTTGAAATTTTATGTAACATCAAAAATATATTACAGTTAGTGAATTTACCAAATAAGGAAAGTTCTAGAATGATCTACATGAAATTCTTGAAATTTGATTGCCTGTTACACACAAGTGATTCGACATTTATTCTTTTTTTCAAATTTCATTGTGGCTTAGATACTATATGAATAGATAGCCTAGTTTATATAATTGTTTGGGACCAATTCTTTTTAAAAAAGTAAATGAGATCTGAAAATAAGAAATTTACATTATATTTTAATTAATTAAAGTAAAATAAAAAGCATATTTTTATTAATTAAACTAGAATTTTAAATTATTTTTTTAGTGTCTGTTTATCAAAAATTAAGAGCAAGTATCCTTTCATGTATTTTCATAAATTTAGTTGTAAAATTGGATTAAAAACCTGTGAAATTAAAGAATCAAGTCTGATAGTTAAATTAAAAAGACAAGCAAAATTTTTTAAAATTAAAATGATTTGTTATATAAGGAACCTAAAAAGAATCCAGAAAAACTATTAAAAATAATCAAAATATCATAATTAGAAGCGATACTTTACATGATGCATAATGATCTATCAGCTATATATTTTTCTACTGATATAATGTTTAACAAAATTCATATATGATATTATTGGTTAATGATACTATTCAAAACCTATTTTAATGTGTAGCTTAAAAATTGAGAAACTATTTTAAACCTTTAAAATGATCTAAAACTTGATGAAATTTAATTAAGTTTAGGAAAACCTATTAGAAGTTTAGGTAAAGATATTTATTATAAACAAATAGTTTTATCTCAAACATCTTAAAACTCAAATTTTTTAAAAATAGTTTAGGGAGACATCTTTATTATTAGATCTTACATTTAAGCATATAATGTATGTCAATGAAGAGGAAGATCTAAAATCAAAAATAAATTACATTCTATTCCAGTAGATTGACCATTCTATAAGATTGGAATAGATTTTATTGGACCTCTATCCTGAACAAGTAGAAGAATAAATATATTATTATTGCTATCGATTATTTAAATAAATGATCTGAAGCTAGAGTAGTAAAAAATACTATTGCTAACAATATTGTCAAATTTTTATATAAAGATATAATTTGCTGATATGGATGTTCTACAAAAATCTTATCTGATAGAGGATCTCATTTTAATAATTAGTTCATAACTCAATTAATGAAACAATTTCATATTAGACATAATTTATTAACTTCTTATTATCTTAAGTCAAATGGATTAGTGGAAAAATTCAATAAAACTTTATATAAACCTTTGGCAAAATTGAAAAATCTATACAATAGAACCAATATATTTCACCTGCATTATTTGCTAACAGTACAAGTAACAATCAACTATAAAAATAGAACCTTTTTATTTAGTTTATATATGAAATACAATGTTACCAATTGATAATCCTGATGTTCCTAATGATATTTATACCAATTAAGATTTTCTTATGCAAGATAGAGTTAATCATTTAATTAACAAATTATCTTTAATATAACAAGATCAAAAACACAAATATAACTTGTATAACAAAAACAAAAGAAATATCATGATAAGAATATAAGAATTTCTATTACATTTAATATAGGAAATAAAGTTTTATACTTTAAAGTAGCTAAAAATAAAACTTATTTAGAAAAATTAGAACAAAAATGAAAAGAACTGTACTATATCTATCAATTATTATTAAATGGATAACACAAGATAAGAGAATTAGATAGTTATATACTTCGAATTCCAGTAAATGAAAATTTTTAAAAATATATAAGGACTCTCTATTTCAAAATTCAATTTAAAATTTTAAAATTTTTTATCTATCAATGAAATAAATAATTATTGAAGATTTAAAAAAAAAGCTTACCTTTGGAAATAACACCTGCTTTTTTTTTATATACTGCAGAATTAGATTTACAAAAGAAAATCCAAATGATATATCAAATATTATTCTAGTCATCAAGAATTAAGGATCAAATTTTTACCTTAATTAATACCTTCTATCTAGAAAAGTTACTTGAAACTAAAACATATATACCAGCACAAAAAAATCAATTAAAAAGAATACTCACTAAGTATTACAGTCTTATGTCTATTAGAATGTATTATTTATTTGAAGCTTTAGAAGTAGATCAAATTTAACAAACTCGAAATATGATTTTGAAAAATATCTACTAATTATCAAATAATTCCTATTGATTCTTAATTAATGAAACTATTAATATTTAGGCAAAAACTCAAAATTTAAAAAAGGAGGATTGAAGTTGTGATTTGTGATTATGATGATCATTTTTATTATATTTATTATATTAGATATATTTATCATATTATATTACTATTAGTTTATTTTATATAAATAGCATGTATTTTTC